AAAACCCGTAAACCCTAAATCCAAAACCCTTAAACCCTAAATCCAAAATCCCTCAATTTGGACTTTCGTTTGATCTTCGCATCTCAAAAGTGTCAACAGTCACAGGGATCGGGGGGTCCTGGTCACGAAGGGGGGGTCCTGCAGTCACAGGGATCGGGGCCCTGTGTGCGGCTTAGATGCGCCAGAGCGCGCCTTAGATTTTTGAGGCCGTGCGCCTTAGGTTGCCCTGCCTTTTTGGGTACCGCACTATCGATTCCAACAGCCTCGGAGCTGCTTCGCAGCAGAGACATTCTTTGGTGGCAGGAGGAGCATCCCGGCTTTGACTTTTCTGGGGCTTCGTTCAGTGGCCAAGCCCCAAGTGCCTGACGCCCAGTACCCGAAGTAATTTGCGGAGTTTGCCCAGAGAAGCCCGGAGTTCACAAGCAAAAAAAATGCTCAGATTTTCACCATGTCATCAGCAGTGCAGCCCCGGCAATCACGGCGCTTTTTTTTTGTTCGTTCGTAACTGTCGTCTCAGAAAGAAAGCAGAACAGAGGCATTGTAGAATCGTGGCAACTGCTGCGACTTTGACAGCACAGAGTCTAGCAAGTTCTGCAAGACCGACAATGGCAAGAAACAGGAATCGGATTAAGATTCGTCAGGAGGTGCAGTCATGTCCAAAAATGTTGATGCCACGACAAATGCTGGCCAGATGCAGCAAACATGTTAGCGGGGCCTCAAACTGCAACAGCAATGAAAGTAGATGCTTTTCAAGCAGCCAAAATGGCAAGAATCACACCATCTACGACGCATGGAAGAGCTGATGTCCTCATGTCTTCTAGTGCTGGGCATGTGTGCTATCAAGTCTGATTTGGTGGTGAAGGCCAGAACCTTCATGGGCGGGATCCACGCGGATCCGCAGTCTCTGAAGTAGATAGTCGTTGCTGGTGCCAAGTCCAGTGGATGTGGCTCTGCATGCCTGCTTGGGGCAGCTCAAGGCTGTACAGTGTCCCATTGCCCAAGGTGGCGCGTAAAAACTAATGCCAAAAGGCGTTAACGGGATGATCATACTTGCGGTTTTCCTGCAACTCATCATGTACATTACAAACTTCGTCTAAGTAAGCTGTCCGTCGAGCACCGCTGATGCGTATCAGGATGTATCATCAAGCTTGACCGCCGTTTCCTGCAGCTGTGAGGCTCAGATCGATCTATTCCGTGCGGATCTTTACAGCACCAGTTTAGACCTTTCACATAGCGTGACTAAAGCACCCGCTACCAATGCAGAAGTCTTAGCAACACAGCAATCTAGGACAGGTTGACAAATTGTATCTGCATGGGTCGATGCAATCCCGCGCGCTGAAGTTCTGTAAAAGGCGCAAGGATAAGGCGTTCAACATAATTTGATGCCTGAAGCAGCTTACAATTTACCTGGCTGTAGTTACCGTGGCAGCCCATGTGCCGCAATGGCCTGATAGCTGGCCGGGTTGTCGACCAGTCGAATGACTCAGCTGGCCGACACCTTGCTGTCACATCCCCTGCCACGCAGTGTAGAAGATGGCAAGCTCAGCGTTGTTGGTGCCCTGGTCTGGAAGAGTCAAGAAGTCCCTTCACTATGTTGCTATAGATATGTCTAGGTGTCCATCCATCTATCTGGTGATTCATGTAGCTAGCTCTCCATTTATCTATCAATCTGAAAGGCGGCAATTCTGCGAGACTTCCTAGCAAGATAGAATCTTGACGTGGCAACTGACAGCTGCGTGATGTTTCAGACCCATCTGTCGAACATACTGCACCTGCAAAGCTCTGGTTGACCACAAAAGCAGCTGCGGGTTGGCTGGAGGCAGCAATGCCCATATCATCACCTCAGAATACAGTTCTTGTGATTTCGCGAGTTTTGCTGAGGTACGCCTAGCGAGCAAAGCCCCAGCCGCAGCCGTAGTCCGGCCAAGTCCGAAAAGCAGACCCTTCCGATCAGGACTTGCAGCGCTCAAAAGACGTTCCCACACTGCCGCATAGTGTTGCACTCTGTTTAGTGTATGCCTTCCCCCCACAAGATCCCCCGAATAATTAACACCAGGCGTCCTCAATAAGGCTCCCAGGGTACTGAGGGCCCTGGGGAGGCTAAAGGGGATGGTCTGGATTCGATTTGGGGCCCAAAAAGCAAAATACATCCAACAGAGTCCTGAAACAGTAGGCCAAAACTCTTCAAGCTGCGGCTGAAACACATTAATAAGAGAGTCTCTTGGTAGAAAGTGCAACATTGGTCAGGGCATGGCTCAGCACATATGGCATTGCCGCCGTACCTACCTGTTCATGCGCTCGCATGGTCTCACATGCATCTGGTAACAGGAGCCGAGAAGGTCGGATCGATGGCAACTCACCTGCGTGGTCTGATGCGGAGATCCGGCCTGTCCGATCACTGTCAGCTCCGTCAATAGTCTGGCACCATCCGCATGATTCGCATCAGTTTCTTCCCTGCAGTTTGTACAGGGTGGGCTGATGTTTGGACTGTTTTGGCATTCAGCTGAGGCCGGAGAACCCTAGGCGTTTCCCGTCGGCACCGCAGAAACGAGAGACAAAGAGCTCCGGGGAGATGGCTGCTTGCCTGCCCTGGCATCTCTCACGACCATTCAGAGTCCTTGAGGGGGCGGCTAGCCATCGGAAGTCTGCTTTTGGTACTGCAAGCTTGTTTCCTGGATTCAGGCCGATTTTCAGCCGCTGAGTGCGACGGCTATGAACCATCTCGGCCGTATACTGCAAGGTCAGTTTGGTCAGATGCAGGACTTGGATCATGGATGAGTCTGGTGTATAGATGGGTAGATGGCTGTTGAATCTACTGAGTCCTAGGCGTCGTGACGCACATTTGTTGCGGGACATGGTCCCCACATGCCCCAACATTCTGACATCGCGAGGATAGTCTGGGCGAGCCAGTGCCATCATCGCCCCAGGGCAGGAGAAATTCTGGGAAGTGTGGGCAGCGCGTGCCATAGCTGTCCTCCAAGCAACTTCTCTTTTTTTCAGGAGGCAGCTCCGGGAGCCGGTTGACCTGGCAGACCTCGGGACGAAGAAGGCCTCTCGAAGCCAGTGTAACCTGAGCACGAACTGGGTCAAAGCTACCAAGATTGCACGATCAACCCTCCCGGCATGAAGCTCACGTGTGCTACTAGCTACAAGGGTCAACAGCTAAGTAGCTGGCCATCTTTGTTGCAATTCAGGACTGTATTCATCGGCTTGCTCCCTGCCTGGATTGTGCACCGCAAGCGTCTGTCCTGCATGGGAAACAGGTTGTTTGCTGGCATGGCATGTGGATGGCTGAGGTTGAAAATCAATGCTTTGTGGGTGGCTTCATGATACTTACTCTGTTCGCCCTCTTCGTTCCGGATCTTGATCTGCTTTTGGGCACTGCGCAGTCGCAGCAAGTGCTAAGTACCTCATCCAAAATTGTTTGAGCTGTCAATGACTTGATTTTTCACATGAGATTCACGCAGCATGTTTCCATCGAGCAAGCATTCTGCACATGCGCTGCTAAGGCGTGATCATGACTGTGGCTTGTTTCCTTTTCTTTTTCGAGATTGTCGTACAATGCTTCGGGAAGAAAGCGCAGCTTGGTCTTTGCAGACACATCTGCAAGATGTGAGCAGGAGGATGGAATCGAGTTACAGGCTGCTTATTCTCTAGTTGCCGCCTTAGGTATGTCTTTGGAGCATACTTCTGGCTCGACGTCATTGCCCTGATCTCCCTCCTTCCAGACACGTGGCTCTTCAAAGCTGTGTTTGAGTCCAACCAGGCAGGGTAGTTTGTCTGGTACTTGCTTACATGCCTCAATCTTGCAGCCCGTAGGCAGAACCTGATTGTACAGGTCTAAGTGTTGTCACCCCATACTTTTAGCAGCCTGGAGGCTTTCGTTGCTGGCCGCTCTTCTCGCCTGGCCAGGTGCAATTGTTCTGCAAGCCCAACTATAGAGGAACAGCTAAGTCATGCAAAGGGCTGTCACAATGAGAGTTCCAAAGCAGCGCAAGGAAAGTTTTAGACATATGCCAGTCGTGCATGCATGCACAGGCTGCTGCGCATTGCCTCACGTTCTTCGAAGGCTGGGATTGCTGAAGAACTCGGATATGTCTAGCTTCAGAAGCAAGCGCCTGCGGGATGTTTCGCTGTAAGAAACGGACCACACGTCCTGACATGAGATTTTATCGAATGCTGGTCTTTTCTATCACGGCCTGATGCGCAGGCCACGCGGCTGAATCGCCTAACCCGCATTGTCCGGGTTGCAGCGCTAATGCCAAGGTCCGGCAGCTATGTCAGTGGATGTGGTAGAGAAAGGTGCCATAGAGCTGTGCTTATCCTGTAAATGGAATGACAAAAATATGAATCATGAGATTTGCAATTCTGCTATGCTGTTATGCGGGCAAGTGGTTACTCTGCTTTGGATGCAACCTTCTTGAAGAGTCGCATGCTGCATACGGTGGCATGCCATCTTTGAGGGGTCGGTACTGCTTGATTCATTCTGGCCCGCAGGTTGGGGAAAGTTTGCCCCCCGGACGCAAGAGATTTGTAAGCTTGGGCAGGTGGCTGCAAATTTGTGTTCGAGATTCATGTCGAACAAATTGAAATGCACTGCAGAGGTTCTGGCAATGTGTGCGTCAACCCAGGTTCCAAGAAGGTCAAGGTCAACGACACAAATCGAGTTTTGGACAAGAAGCAGATGCCTTGGTCGCTTTGATAGGTGCTTGCTGTTTGGCAGCATTTTGTAGTCTACTTGCAACATCTTGCAACTGATGCTCAGGTTGCGAAGAGTTTTCAACTTCTTGGACACTGATATGGACGGGCTCATTCCACGCATAGCGGTGCCAAGTGTAGTGGCAAAGCTGAAGGCCAGACTTCAAAACGGGGCACTGCATTTCCTTATTAACAACAACTGATCCTTGTGAGGCTGGTGATGCTTCCGACGAGCAGTCCGTGGCTCTCGTGAACTTGATGAAGTCCAAGGCTTTGGGAGCTGCGCATGCTAAACTCAGGATGCGGGCTGGTGTTGTTCAGGTGGCGAGCACCCTCGGTGCCATGAGACGCTTGGGCAAGGAGCGAAACTAAGTTCTGCGAAGCTAAGTTCTGCTCTGTACCAAGAATGCAGCTAGTTTCCCAGAGTAAGGGGACCCCAATATACACCCCAAATTATTGCAACCCTTCTTCCAGGCACCCCCACAAAGGTACCCCTAATTTTGGGAAACCCTCACGTGGCTTTCTTTTTCAGGCTCCGAAGTCCGAACACATATCCGAGGGAGCGAGGCAGGGGCTTTTACCAAATCCCAGAGTAATGTGAGCCATAGTCAAAACTCCTAGTGTCCTTAGAATATAGCCCCCCGGATTAAACAGTCTTTAAGGAGTTTAGACTACAGCTCATGTAGTCCCTGTTTTCTAGCCCCTCTAATCTGTGTTCAGAATTTTGAGAACCCTCAACTCGACGAGACTTTGTGATTTCTGCAGTGAGCTCAGATTGGTGGTGGAGTTGCCAGGTCCAAGGCGATGCTTGATTTTGACTTTGCCCCAGAGTCACCGAGCCATTCGCAAGCTACCTCGGGGCCAGGCGCGGCTTTTCACAAAACCTAAGACCTGCCAGGACAGGAAATGTGTGTCATGGGTAGTCTGAGCGCCCTTGAAAGTGGCCACAGCACTTGCTTTGGAATCTGACTTGAAAGGGCCGCAAGCAATCTCATGTTTTGACTGCATAATGCAAAGGAGGTCTGGGTACCGGATTCAGGATACAGTTTATCTGAGCCTTGCCTGTGCACAAACTTAGACGCAGCATTCCGGTTTAGATGTGTCCAAGCCCAGGCCATGCGATGTCTAAGTGCTGCGGAACCTTTTAAATGCCTTTTGTTGCTTGCTAGCTGAGCTTGCCAGGTGCCGTTGACGTGCTCTCACCAACGCCGTGCTGCAGCGAGCATCCAGAGAGTATTCCGCCCAAGCCAGAAAGCAGCCATGCCAGCAGCTGGCATGCAATATGATATTACATAAATCTAGGCTTTTGTGCAATCACGGAGAGCGTTTGTAAGTGCGGCGGAGTCACCGATTTAAAGATGAAAAGGCAAGATTCTAGGGTCTCAAGCCACTGCCAAGATATCAGAATCTGTAATCTAAGAAACTTCATCTAGACCAAAGATTGCAAGAGTGTCTTGGTTCGTGGATACCTATTCCAAGATCCGGGATGGGATGTTTGTGAATATCTTTTCCCACTGTGCAAGTCTAGGCCCCCGCCGGCGCTCGCCGCTCAGCAGGGCGCACACCGTACAGGCCAAGATGAAGGCTGGGCTGGAGGGCCCTTCTTACAAGCGTGGAAAGGCTGCTTTCCCCCATTTGCCAGGTCAGTTTGGCGAGCAGCACAGCATCCCAGCTGACAAAGCAGACGCCTGAGGAAGAAGAAGAGGACGTGGGGATGATCGATTTCCAGGAGCCCTGGCTTGAAATTGCATTCATGCTGCGAGCAAATTGCGAACCTCCCTGGCCCAAGGTGTTTAAGGAGCTGATGCTGGAAGACAAATGGGTGGAAGAGAAGCTTCGGCGTTCCTGTGAGCAGCAGCTCAAGCAGGCTAGCAACATGAAGAACCTCACTTCCAGGCATGCCGAAGCTTGGCTTAGCTTAGCTTCAACCTTCAAGCGTCATCAAGAGTTAAAATAGCTTCAAGTCTCAGCCTGGCGTCAACTCAGGAGTATGTGGCAGTGCAGGTGGCCTTGGGAGTTCTAGCGCCCCTTGGCAGGAGAAAGCTTCAAGTGCTTGGGCACTGCTGTCACATGCTGTCGCTGTGAGGCTCCTCTTTGTGCTGAACATTATTGAGCCCACTGTCACCAACAATTCGGCACTCCGTGGCCTGGGCTTCTGCGACAACTTAGTCGCCTCTGCCGCAAGAAGGCAGATCCACAAGAACTCCTGCACAAAAACTGACACTTGAGGTCCAGACAGAGTTTCCCGATCTAACTGACCATGCAGAAGTGCCTGAACTTGTCAAAGAGCAGGTTGAGGCTCGGCAACTTGTCCGTTTCACAACTTAGCTTGCCAAACGGTCTGGCTGTAAGGCACCCTTGCAATGCCTGACAGGTGTGGCTTCATGCAATGGAACGGAGCATCGGCACAAGATCGTTGCTCTACTTGGATTTGGATAAGAAGGCCGCTAGCTTCTGCAGATGTGATCTTTGTCATTCGCGACTTTCGCCTTGCCAGGTGTACTGCAATGAGATCTCCTCAGGCCAGGTGTTGAACTACTTGCAGGGCTTTGGGCAGCGATTGCTCGCGCTGTGTATGCGCTTGGCGCTGCCTTGCAGGTGATTCCTGCTTGGACGTCAGCTACTTCAAGGGACCACGGCGTGTCCTCAATGATTTGGATGACGATGTGAGGAACACGGGAATAAGGCAGCTGTGCTTTCAGCTTTCATGATGACATATGCTCTTGAGAGACTTCATGTGCCTGTGAGTTTGGAACAGGCAAGTGGATCTTGTGCTCCTGAGATTTCCGGTGCTTTGCCTCAGGTTTTTAGGTTCTACATTCTTGTTGATAACCACTCGGGCACTTCTGCCTGTCCAGAAACATGCTCCAAGGATTTCTCTGACAGCGAGGTTTCAGAGGAGGAGCTAGAGTTGCTCGATTACTTTGTCTTTACCTGGCATGTGGGATGGCGGGGCTCATGGTTTGTCCTGCTCAGGCTTCGGACGACTGCCATAGCGGTAATGTTTGATCGAGGGCGGACAGCTACAGAGGCCTGATCTTGCAAGAGATGGGCTGCTTCTTTGGAGCTGGCGTGGCAATCTGTTGGGATGGGTGGAACCTAGGGCATGCACCGTGTGGCTGCTCTGTTGAGGAAAGGCATTTGTTTGAAGGGGTGGCAGTGCAGTCCAGTGATTTCCAGCGGGTTTGAATGCTCTTGATGCCAAGCTTCCAGACCAGGCATGGATGTCGCTCCTTACGACAGCTTCGGCAGCTTTGCAGAAATCTGTTGGGGTTTGTTTTCAGATGTAGCTGCAGCTGTAGTCATTTGTGCTGTGTCCAGACATGTTTCACCAGGTTATCGTCATCATCCTTGCGGGGATTGTCCTCCTGACCAGAGATCTCACTTTCTTGTCCCACCACCTGCTGAGGCCCTCCAGCTGGCAGGCATCACAAGCACATTTGCACCAGCCTGGACTGCAGGCCCTTGCGGGATCTTGCTGATGACATGGAGAGCATCGCGCAATTCGCCGGCGTCGGTAGTGAGGAGGAGGCCATCAGCATTCTGCTAGGCTTTGTCTCAACAAAGACTTGTCTGGTGGCCAATTACGACTTTGATATGCGTGGAGGCTGGGGGCGAACCTGAGACCAGTGAGGTGCTCCTAATCAGGAGGAGCGAAGGGTGCATGATGTGAGCTAGCGCACCGCACCCTACAACATGTATGCATGCATCCAAGTGATGAAGCAGGACCTTCGACAACATGAAGAAAGCCGTCCGCTCGTGGGGCAAATATGTGCCACTGCCTGTGTCTGGATGCATTCAATTTGATTTAGGGTTTGCATTGTTGTCGGCCCGGGCTTTAGCGCGATAACGAAGAGGAGCACATCCCAGGTGGTGCAGCTTCTTCTGCGAGATGGCGAGGAGGCCAAGCTTGAGGTGAAGGAGCGAGAAGCTCCTCCGCTGATGTCTGTGGCTTTCGGTATCCTTGTTTTGACTCGCAACCTTCGCATCATCACACCTTCATGGCAGCGGGATAGCGGGGTGGGCCGCTGAGGTAACTATGTTTTTCTCTGACATCGCAAACTTCACAACGATAGCTGCTCTCTTTGCAGTTGAGAAGACGTGCATGCAAAGGCAAGATGTGTAGTGAGAACTGGGCTATCTGAGGTTGAGAGCATTGAGCCAGCAGCTTGCCTGCTTCTTCTCAGTCGATACTTCAACGACATGTCCAAGGCGGGCAAAGTGGGAGAGCTGTCCGGCTCTGAAGGCACATTTCTTTCACTGTCAAGGTCATTGATGATCACAGTGGTGTTGTGCTGGAGTTCATTGGAGATGCGATCCAGTGTGTCTACGGCGCACCGCTGGAAAACGATCGTCATCCGACCCTGGCAGTGGAGGCATTGACAGGAAGTCTGGTATTAACACTCCACCTTCCCGACGGAAGGTTACCTCGGGGGGAGTGTTCCTCATTCTGGGTTGATGGCATGCTTCTAACAGGCAACGGGCGCAAGTTGCTTCGGTGGGCCATGTAGAATTGCATCTACGGATCCATACTATTCCAAAGGCCGTAAGATTGTTATGTACAGCCTGACCCACTGGAACTCGAAGTCGTGGGCTTCATTTCCTGCTCTATCAGCGGTCAGCCATTCTATTCCAGACAAGAAGCAAGCGCAGCAGCAAACCTTCACGCGGTCATCCTCAAAGCTTGCATGCAGGGTGTGTGCAGTGCTTCTAGTGGTTCTAGTGCCTGCCGCTGTACTGACAGACCCGGCGTTGTTGAGGCGGCTTTGCGGATGCTGGGGGCGCTCCGACGCATCAAGGACTGGTGCCGTGACCATCGACTGCCCGAGGTGAACATCAGGCCTGAAAGCTCAGCCGGAGTGGGGCTTCTTTTGTAAGATTGAGACGATTTGTTGCAGGTTATTTCCCAACAATTTCCAATCATCAAACAACAGTATCTACAAAGCATCACGGCACTTATGCTGCAAGGTAAGCCAGCCCAATTCCCCAGACATCGCTGGCCGATCTGCTCAAGGCTTCAGCATCTCTTGAATTTCCTTTGAGTTTAAGGCAGTCTGCTGGAGCATGCGGGAAGATGACAGTTGGGAATTATTGGATGGCTGCGCAGCAGTTCTGAAGACCCTGGCAGTTTCGTTGTTGCCGTTCGCTGCGGCACCAGCGCAACCGATTTTCAAGATCGTCGACTCAAGCTCCGTGGATGGGGAGAGGGTTATCTCATGTGACCCGGCGGAAGTGGTGGATGCACATGGATTTGACATGGTGGCTGTGGAGCTCCTGCGCGAGGCCATGGATGGCATGGCTGCTGGCTTCGGGCGGCGTGAGCAGGCACGGCTTGTGCTGCTGGCTTCCGGGCTTCTTGCAGAAGCGGCCGTGCTGCGACGTTCAGGGCTCTCAGCTTGGACACTGCAGAGTGGCCTGCAGCAAGCCGTTGAAATGGCTGAAGTTGCAATCCGCAAGGTTACTTTCCTGCAGACCAACGTTGAGATCCAGCAAAGCTTCACAGACCCCACTGGAAATGATGATGACGTGAGTTGGTTTTTCACAGCTGCAGAAGAGCCATCGATCAGCTTGCCAACGCAGACGCCCTCCGCAGCTCACAAAGCTGTTAGCAATGTTGACGCAGTCGCTGCGGAGAGCATGATGGATGACATGAGGACTGCTGTGAAAGGGATTTGTTTTGATTTGTGTGGAAGACACAATGGACCTGAAAGCCAGCATTGCTTCGTGTATGGGCGACAGAAGCTCGTTAAGCATCCACGCCTGAGCCGGTGCCGGGGCATTGCTTGCCGTGTTCCCAAGAGCCACGTGGCAGGCCACCGCATGCTATGCAGGCAAGTAGACGATCAGAGTGGACGCGAGACTACTGAGCAAGCACTGCGCTTCTCTCGTAGCGTCTGTTTGGATGCCGACCTTTTTTCTGCCACGTACGATTCTTGTGCACCGTCGCAGCGGCGTACAAAGGAGACAGTCTTTCAGAATGCTGGGGCAAGCCTGCTGTCAACCACGGAGGACCAAAACCAGTTGCTATCACAGGCGCTTCATGCGCTGTCAGCCAACGGAACAGAGACTTTGCTGATTTCAGGCGAGGTTTCGAGGGCCGCGGCTGACATGTGCCAGGCTGCGGGCCTCCTCCTGATAGCGGGAATCCCTGCACGCCTGTTGTGTGCTCTTGCTGCCGACCTTGGTGTTGAGGTGCTGCATGGATTGCCCGCCATGGATGAAAACGATGGGACATCCTGGCCATGGCAGGCAAAGCGGGCTCTTCGAGTACAGCTCGTAGAAGTAAATGCTTTCTCCGGTGACTTTGCCTTCCCGTTGCTCGGATTTCGCCAGCCCCTGCTACCGCATCAAAATGACAGAATGGCCAATCAAGAGCCGCTTTGGGAGATTTGGGCAGCGGCCGAAGACGGTGATCCTGCCTCTTCCGTCGTGCTTCTAGAGGGTAGTTGCGAGCCTCTTCTGCGACAACTACATGCGGAGCTTCATGACACTTTTCTGGCGCAGCTTATGCAGTCCGGCCGTGGTGAAGTGGACCATGGCTGGATGTTGAAAGCAGCCGACGCTCTTGAGGAGACAGCTATGTCTTCTACCCTTCCTGCTCTGCTGGCAGCAAAGCACCCTGATCCTCCCCTTGCACCTTGGCTGCACCAATCGGGTAACATCACTGGCGTCCGTGCTGCATGCGGAGCTTTGGCATCGGCTCTGCGCCACGTTTCAGCTGCAGAAGAGAACTACTTCACGGAATGCGTTGGCGAACAAGACACTTCCGCTCCAGCCGAGACAAGTTCATCAGCGTTAGCTGTGCTGAAGCGTGGCACGCGTTTCGTTGAGGTCCTCCTTTCGCTAGATGAAGCCCAGCTGTGCGGCTGTGCGCAAAAACAAGCCATAATGCATGTCATGTGTTGGCACCCTTCGAGTGAGCAAACCTAAAGCTGAGCCAGGTGTGGAATTCACACTGGCCGCGTGCTTGTTGGCAACATGGGCTTTTCATCTCGCATGAAGTACGGCATTGTGGGCGGCACGGCAGCACTTGGGTGGTCATCTGCATGGAAGACCACTGGACACTGTGAAGTCGTGGCCGAGGCGAAGAGTCCACAATTGCGGGCAAGCTCGAGGACCTGCTTTTCTTCATAAGCTATTGGCAAAGAGCTGCATTTGATTGCCAGCAAGCCTGGCAATTTTTTTTTTGAGCGCAGCCGGCAAAAGCCTGCAGCATCAGGAGCTGAACAAAACGTACAAAACGCGCATACTGATATCGGAAACTTGGCTTCGCAACAAGCTTCTGCCTATGCGCTTATGACTTGATTTACTGGTTTGACATGTGACAACTCAGGAAAGCACTTATGAAATGCTCGATCCGACTGAATTCTTTATTCGCCCCGTGGACTTCGTGTATCTAAGACAGGCGCAAACAGTCCAAGCCATTCCTTAGTCATGTATTCAACTGTTACATCTTGACGCTCAAGAGTCCTGTTTCAAAGGTAGCAAGCTTCAAGATTCACTGGTGCAGGTACACGAGGCTACAAGCGAACCTGTGTACGAGGCAATGCAGGTTTTGAGTTCTCCTGACATGCTGGCACATACAGCCTTGGGGCGATGATATGTGCATGGTCCAGTATCGAAAGATCTGAAAGACTCAAACATAGGTTGTTGAACCACAAAAGCCTGAAGAATGCTGACCTTTCCTTTTTTGTTCGTTTCGGTTGAGTTTGTGGTGCAAATGGCTGCATGTTGTCAGGTGATGCCCCTGAAAACAAAAAAGCTGCTAAGCTGAATTGAAAGCGAGGCAGAGTTCAAGCTCGGACTTGATGTCTCAGTTGGTTAGGACGATTGACCCCCGGAGGAGTGTCCCCTTGCCCTAAGGCCATCGAGCCCATTGAAGCGCATCCTCTCGCTGCATGCGGAGGCAATCTACGAGTACAGGCGAAAGGAGCTTCATGGCTTGCAGATGCGGCCAATGCAAATCCTTCCTAGGCCGGATCCTGTTAGGTGAATCACGATCTGCCTGAGGTTTGCCAGCGCGGCAAGGAAGTTCGAGCAGGTAAACACCATCCTGGCAGATTTTAATGGGGAAGATGATGTTCCATCCTCTCTGACACTGAGTTGCAAGCCTGCGGAGCAAGTTGCTCTTTCAAGCTACAAGAACCAACTGTGCCCTGAACGAAGGATGACTAAGCGATGTGCCACCTTGGCGGAAGTGCCGCCACCGAACGAGTGGGATGGCACTTGGGATTCTTATGTGCCTCAGCAAGCAGATTGGAGGTTGGCAAGGCTGCTTCGCTGTTGATAACGCCTCGGCTTATTGCTGCCTAGGTTGATTCATTGGGTGTTTGATGGAGATCAACGTGTTGCTACTTGTAGGAGTGCTTCGCAGGCTCGCTGCGGACATGTTTTGTTTGAGCTCTGCAATCGTTTGCACGATGCGCTAGGCATGAAGTTCCAGTCATGAAGGTGATCTGAGATGTAGGGCTTTAGTTTGATAGAATTCTCTGGCAGAGATGTTGCTCTCCCGCTTGGGAGTCTGCAGCGTGCAGCAGAATCAACGTGCTGGAAGCACCGGGCATTTCATGACAAGGGTGATGCATCTAACTATCTCAGACTATGACAATGCTGTGCTTTCTGTGTCCTGCCGTTTGGCCATGAGATGCCCACGGCCTGGCTACTACAGCTCCTGCAACGTTGTTTGCCGTAGCTTGGACCCTTGCAGCCGCCCGAAGAACAACAGATTGTATATGCATGATGGCTTCTACTAGGAGACCTCGTTCTGTGGGGGCTGCTGCAGAAGTTGGCAACATGTGCTCTGCTGGTCTCACCTGCAGACAAGAGCTGCAGGTTGCAAAGTCTATTTGTTCTGCAATATCCCGCGGCGAGGCAGACTCTTTTAGACGCCTTTTGAGCGCTGAAGAACGTGTACCGGCTTGTAGCGAGTGCATCTAAAGGCGGGTCAGAGGCTCAGGCTTCCTGTGACTGCCTCGCAGGTTTCAAGCAGAGTGCCGCGAGCGATGGCTCTGTAAGGCAATGACAAGTGGTAGGATAACCATGCCAAAAACTCGGTTGTAACAGTCATAACGAGAGCTAGCAGTTTGATGTGATACATCAGTGACCTCAGCACCTGTGCTGTCAACACATGCCAGGTGTAGTGGCAAGCTTAAATAGGAGTGCACGCAACATCGAAGGTTTTGAGCTCTTGCCAGCAAACTGCGTCACCAGATGTCACCAGAGGATGCATAAGGCAGTATCAGGCAAGTACACCGCAAGAGAGCTCAAGCCTTGAAAGTTTCTTGTCACGGCGTGCGAGCCAGGCAGTGCTCATTTGCTTAGCTCCAGATTTTCGACCTTTGAAGATGAGCAGCTTGGAACCCTACAAGGGGTACCGCACACCCAGGCACCTCGTGAAACCAAAGGCTTGCGGCCTTCATCTTTGGATCAGTCGATTATTTGGCTGGTCTTGAAAAGAAGTACTGCTCAGCCAGGAATTGCTCTCTGAGTGCTGAAGTTTACTTGATTTGGCTTGCCGCACATGTTTTGCGGGCCGTCAGGGACCAGAGTATCCAGCACAAGAAACATGCGGATGTGGGACAACAATGCAAAGGGCAGGCATAGACCCCGCAAACAACACATGAAAGAATAGGTGCACCCAGAAGTGTGGAGTTGCTAGAATCAACCGAATGGCAACTTCAAGGAATCTTCTGCAACTCTTTCAGCGCCAGAAGATGTCTGATACGGCCCAGGCTGGCCTTGGCCTGGAGGTGGGCTTCATCCTGATAGACACTAAGATATGTGGCTACTACTGGTAGCCTACCTAGGCCTAATGGAAATGGTCGTTTTCTTTTTGGAGAAAGGCGTGATTGCTGGAAAGTATAGTGCGCAGTGAGCAGCACTGACCCTCTGATTACCTGCCCACGGACATCAGTCAGACAGGAGCTTCAACACCCTGAGGTCGACGATGAATTCCGAGACCTTGGGCCAGAGGCAGCCTGGTCTTTGTCCTCGGCAAAGCAGGGCAATGGAAGCTGGGGTGAGTTAATGCACGCTGCCGGCTCTCGCTTTTCCTTCTGCCCCTGTGTTTTGTCAGCACCAGAACTGCCAAGGAGTGGAGCAGCTGCGTGATGGAAGCACGGACACCTTCTGGCAGTCTGATGGCCCCCAGTCAGGTCCTTGCTGAGTCTTGCTTTGCAGCAGAAAAAGGAAGCTGCCTCGAACGACAGTGGGTAGGATTTGGGCAGTCAGGGACATGTAACAGTATGCAAACCTCGCTTCTCGACCTTTTGAGGAGTCCAGGAAGAATTGAACTTTTTTGACTCACGTTGCTGCACAGCCTGACTTGAGTGCCTTACTTGGACTGGCTTCTCAGAAGCTAACTTAACCGCTAGAGTAGGGCCACGGCAGGACTGGGGCCCGCCCGGACATGTGGCGGAAGCAGAGCAGACCGCCATGCCCACACACCAGCGAAATCAAGAGGCCTGAAATCGGCTCAGGACAGTCTCTGTTCAGCTGCAGCACCCAGAGGTATTGGACAGTGAAAGCAACCGGGAACTGTGCGAAGGGAAAACAAACATCGAGAAACCAAAGCTCCTAGCCCAGGCCGCCTGACGCCCATGTTGTGTGCACGGTGCAGAGGGACTTCCTGAATTTTTAAGCGGTCCGAAGGCAAAAGGCTAAAGAACCAAAACGTACCTGATCACTGATTCTTTGATCCAAATGCCGCAAGCCACCGACTTCGGCGGACGGATTTGGGATGAAGTGTGTGATAAATGTGCTAGGGCTTGTCTTGTTGTGCCTAAGGCCGCACCTGATAAACATCCAGTTTCAGCGGAAGGCCACCCTTATCGAGTCCTTCACTTGCCCACCTGCTGAACTGCCTGAGCAGGTCAAAGTCAGCGAAATTTGCTTTTACGTGTGCTTCAAGATTGACGAGCAACCTGGCAAGATGGTTTCTGTTGGGCTGGAACTGCAGTCGCCAAGAAAATCTGCGGCTACAAGTTCAGGTCGTACACTCCATCACGGATTTCCGTCCGAATAGGCACAGCTCATCACGACCTACAAGAGGCGAGCTGCTTTGAGCAGAGCTCCTAACAGTGTGTCGTGTTTACTACAGCAAGTGCTACTAGATGAGCGCCATTTTTCCCGCCTAGAAGTGTGCAGTCACGCCGCAAGGCTATTTAACACATGTTCGTTCGCGAGAGACAAGGTTCAGGTGGTGGAGCTAAAGGAACCGGATGGCTGGACACTGAGCCGGGGAATGCCAACTGACCCCAAGTTCACAGGAGGTATCGCGAGCATCATTCAAATCCCCCCATTAAGCTGCCAGCTAGGTTTGCGGCTACTCTGCGGTGAAAGCAGACAGCAGCACCATTGAGCACATGGCAGGCTGAGCTTGTGAAGCGGTGTATGCTGCATGCCAAGGCTGGATAACGATACCCCTCGCCAAGTCGAGCTTCCGTCCTCTGGACATCGGCAGAGTTTCATGCAATGATGTGCAATAGCAAGGTGCCATTTGTCTGTTCTAGTAAGTTGTTTTCACCAAACTGCAGGGCGCTGCAGCCTTGTTTTTGATTTATTCATACCTGGGCTGGCGCGAGAGTACAGGCAGTTGACACAGCCGGAGCGCAACAGAGTGCGGCATGGAGAAGAAACGCGTAGAAGGAATTGAGAGAGCACGTTGCATGTAATGTCATCGATGGCTCACTGGAGTTGTGCGGAGGAGCTTCCGGCAAGCTGCACCCTGCGTGATCCGGAGATGAGTGGCGCTCGAGAATTTGTGCGAACGCATTTCATACAGTGTCCTGGTTGAATGTGAGCTGGTCTGTGGTGATCTTGTCTGAAATTTGCCACATGAGGGAGCTGTCCCCAAATCTATCCGATGGGGGTAGCGTTGCTGAGGCTAGCGGTGTTGACAAACCATCAGCACCTTGTCGAGCATCAATAAAGCTGCAACAACTAGTTGAACATGTTGACACCATACCTGTAACGTGGCGGCCGGCTCAGTCAGATCAGATGGACTTGAGGAACTCGATGTAACTGCTGTGAGAGTGACCGAACCTTGCGAGGAACGGACGTGATACTCACATCCGTCAAATCAAGGCTGGACTACAAAAACAGCGTTTTATTTCTTGTGAGGTGCTTCAAAGCTTGTCATGTTCTATTCCGTTGCTAGGTCTTGGGCCCTCGAAGTGCTGTTCGCTCGGGCGCCGAAGTGCAGAAGGAGGCGGGGGAGGTGTTGGGCGTGCGCACCACACAATTGCACGAGGCCCCATGGTTATCCTGCTATTCGTGGCTTTTCACGTTGATTTGCTTTATCGTCAGGTGTGTCCTCTGAAGCTGCAGACCCGCGATCTGCAGCAGTTCGCAAGCATAAGATGAGAAAGTGCGCAGGGGTCGGTGATCCGCAGTTCCAGATCCTGAAATTGCAGGCAAAGCTGAGGTGAATCAAAGTCACTGCAAGCTCTTGTGTAGATTTGGTTAAGATATGATGACATTCTTTGACCGTTTCTGAACTGGATTCTGACAGCAGCGTGACTGAAACAGGACTCATGGCAATCTGGAGATCTTGGCTTCTAGGATGGAGGGCCAGCGGCTTTGGCCCAATGATTCTGCATCCATTTGCATTTTTCAGAGAAAGCTGGCCCTGTCAACGCACCACGTCATGCATGGCTTAGTACGGAGCCCTGCAAACTGGCATGCCCAGAATGGACCGAGCCAAGACATGCGGCTCCTGCTGTTGTCGCTCAAGCTTCATCGACAAGTCAGTATGTGAAACCAACAGCGAAGAGACTTTGCATTTGGCAAACACAAGTTCGGCCTCTGTTTGAATTCGTATGCATTGCGATTTAGGCAGCCTGCATAACCAAAAAGTCTCCTGCGACTCATTAGCAGATGCGCCTCCCAACCAATCTAAACGACAGTCAGCCAGCCTATTGAATCCACGAGCTCACCGTGAGGCAGCCAAAGGTGACGTTAGACGAAGTGAGCAGTAGAGCCTCGAGAGATTGCCTGTGTCTTAGCACAGCCATTGCAAGCTGTGGTATTCATGGGAAATGTCAGGCTGGCATGATTATTGCTAGATCGCACGGGCTTGTTCGGCGTGGTCTGTGCCATCACAAGATCCGTTGCACATCATCTTCGAGCTTTCGCAAAGCTAAACATGAACGTGACAGGTCATCTATCCACTTTGGGCAGAATGCCCTATGCTGACCCGAATGGTGGTTGTAGGACGCTGCAAGTGACCGATAAATTCTAAGCTCTGTGACGGGGAGCCGTAGGATATCCAGCGCTGTCCCTCGGTCTGATGATCATAGCGTCTGTTTCCTCAACATCTGCTTGGCTTGTGGACAGCCTGTTCCACTGCAACATAGCACCTTGGCTGCATGAGTTCTAACTTGCAATCTGCTTTGAGTATAGACCTCTTTCAGCAGTCTGGGCACATGGAGCTCTGATTTGCATAGTTAAGTACTCTGCCAGTGTGTTACAGGGATGTGATATTCATGAGCCGGCGCAGGCTGCCAGATCATTCCCAGTGGGCGTAGCGGCAGCTGAAGCCAGGATGGCAAGCTGCATGTGTTCTGCCCCATGTTTAAGGCAAACCTGATGGAGTTGAAGTCGGATGCCCGGCAGGAAGGAACTGTAGATGCGTGGGTGCCTCTCGTTTGCCTGAAAGCAATGTTCTTGAGGTTGTGGCCGCTGCTGTGGGGTCCGTTCTACAACGAACTTTCCAGCGGTATGGCCTTCATTACCATCCTCTTCGAGCCACTCAGCCCAATGGTGTCGCTGGCCCCTGCGGTTTTGGGCAGTCTGACCGCTGTATCCTGCGATTTGCAAGATAAACATGCAGCTGAGCCCGTGTTGAAGTGAAACCACTAGCAGTCACCAAACTCAATTGAAATGACAAGGATGTACATGGCCATGAGCTACTTCCCAGTACAGGAGAAGGACGGCGCTTTTCTGTCAAGTGGTGAACATGAACGTCACCTTTGACTGACGTCTGAGATGCTGAGGAGATGGGTTCTAGCACCTTCCTTCTCTTCATGTTCTTGATAAACACGCTTACGAGCTACTTGTTTGCATCTGCAGTTCTGCATGAATGTGCCTCGTGATCACGCCATCTCCTGCTGGATCAGTTTGCGGAATTCAAATCCGATGCCTGACAGCGGCTTAGGCCTGCTGTTCCTTCCAGTCATGCTCCTCGGTGCCACGTTTGGCAAGCTGAATACCTGTTCAGCGCCAGTCTGTTGTCTAAGTTCTTGACAGATGCCGCCTCAGGTTTTGTTTCGGAATGTACTACCACATGCAAATGATCTACTTCCATCAAAGCCTGCGCGGGTCGAGGACTCAGTTCGCCACTTTCACCAATGCCAAAAGAAAGTTAGATCCTCCAAGGGATCTGCGCGGTCAGTTTACGTACATGCCAGCTGATCCAGCAGTTTGGGGCGAGCAGAGGAGCCAATCTCATTGTGGTGTGTGATTGTAAGCCACACGAATCTGCTATCCCCAATCCTGTGATGATGTCGGATGCAGCTTTGTCTGGGAAACAGCTTGCTAAATCGCTTCTACCAAGCCCTTCCAGTGAAATTTGACAACAGCTTGGTGTGTTTGGCCGCTGAGGCTATGGCCAATGATCATGGCCAGGGCCTTTAGAAGAAGCTTCGGCTCTTGAGGCAATGCCAACTTACCCATTGCTTGTAATCGTGAGCTCTGCAAGGTGTGTCTGACTCTTTCCGCGCTCAGCAACCCGGATGCCTCAACGAACTTCTGGGGTTTGGTGCGAAGCCCATCAAAGCTGCATGTAAACGGCTTGTCGTACCACTGTGCAAGGTCAAGATTCCAAACAGGCAAGGGCGCACAAGATGCTGTTACCACTTTACGCTTACCCTGCCTGGCGCAGGTGGTATCCCATAGCTTTGACGGGTTTCTTCATGCTGCTCAACGGCAGGATCATGTGGGTGCCAGCGCCTGCTATTCTAATTTTGGGGATGCGAGTTTGTAGCGAATGGTACTCTTCTCGGTTTGAGATGTCATGCGACCTAGTCTGACAGATGCCTCCATGTGCTTCATGGCCAGAATCTGGTGATTGCGCTGGCCATTGGGTACGGCTACCCAAAGCTGCGCACGGACCTTGCCCTGCTTGCGAGCATTCTGGGCATGTGACCAAGTTTGCCCAAACCCCCCCAAAAAGGTAGATAGTCACATATAATTAACGCTATGTAACCCTATACAGTCCCTAAAGGTTCCCATCATAGTCCTAGTTTAGGCCTGGACCGGCTGCTTCCCTCGAAGACCCGCGTGGATCGGCTGGAGCAGAAGTGTTGCAGAGGTACTTGGCGCACTTTGGCGGCTGCATCCCCTGTCAGAGGATGTTTTCTTGTGCTGGTGGCTAGGAGGTCGTTGCCAGCTGCTGGGAGCCTCTTGGGTCTGTAGCTCAGAGCCGTTTGCACGAGAGAGTGACCTCCCTTGCCTTTCTGCAGTTAGCTGCCGCAACAACATCTTCCTACGACGTGGATGTGCAGATTGATCGGCGCGCGCCGCCTCAGCTCTTGAGATCAATTCCTGTTGCATGAAGCCTTCCGTTGGCTGTGCCGGCCCGGGAGAGACGCGGATTTTCCTGTCCTGACTGTAATGCTGAGCAGCTTGTTATTGTGGCTCTGCGGCAAGGCTATAGAAACTTCACTGACTTCGGTAATGACTCCTCGCATCACCGGCCCGTTTGAGGGGCGGCAGTTCACCGCTTCCAACAGCTCATGACTGCTGTCTGCAAGCTTTTGCAGTACGGCGGCCAGTGGAGCGTCAGGAGGCGAAGTGACTGCGACATGCTTGGTCAACAGTCTTTTTAACTACATACAGGGTACCTGACATGAGCATCCTGACATGAGCATGGATCTCAGGTTACAAGCTATAATGTAGTCTGCTCGTGGTATCTTGTGGTGACAGGTCACGCTCCTGTTTCGGTTACATGTCTTCTCAACTGGTAGAAACACGCACAACGCGTTGCACCTATCCGCATCTTAGCAGTATCTTCAAGAAGTTGCCTTCGCAGAATTATCGCCCCGCAGGCGGCCAGTTTGTGGTCCGGAGCTTAGTCGCACACACACTGTCCTGAATTTTTGAGACACCACGGGCTGTTTGTTTCCAGCTTGCCAGAAGGCGTGTTTACTGCGAGACTCTGGACTGCAGTGTGGGGATCCTGTGCATCTGCAGAGGCATTTGGCGGCAGCGGGAACCGTCTGGGCGAGTCTGGGGCCACTGAGATGGAGGCTGGCCGCCTACTGGTGCTGAGCCTCCGGGCGTTACAGCAAGCCTTAGCAGGGTTGGCATGCTTGATCGTGCCGGCTTGCAGTCAATGAAGCTGACAGGCCCGCCCTCCAACTGAGCCTGCTAGCCAGCCATGATTTCAGTCTCAACCACTGTTCTGGTACCCTTGGAAAGCAGGGCTGCCGACAGATTGTTTTCACCGAATGCCGAAATCCTGCAATTTTCCCAGAGGCAAGAAGTAGTTGCGCTCCGCTTCTTTGAAGCTTGTCGGTGCAAAATCTGTTGTTCCAAAAGAGCTGTGTTTGAGCTTTGCGAACAACTTGTGTGTTGTGTCGCGGAGATACGCTATGCTCAGAGTCTAGGCGTGTTTGCATGCCAAGCACAGGAATGCCGCATGAGCGGAGAAGGCATTTGGCACGAGGTAATGTGAAGCCTTCTGGATCAAAGCGGTCGAGAAGGGGGCTTCCGATGTGAGCCCTGATGTGCTGCAGCAGCTTGGGACTGCAGCCAGTGGTCTTGGTAGATTTCTAGGTGCCCAAGCTACATGCATGCCAAGACGACTGAAGCAGGGGCAAACGCATCTAAGTAGTGAACATGTTGGAGGCCGTTCCTGCCTCTGGACTGCTCAGGCAACAGGTGCTTCTAGCTGCAGCACGGCAGCAGGCACGCCACAGCACACGTTTCCTTGGCTAGATTTGCTAGAGTCATGGTGTTTGTTGAAGGTCCCTGAGACCATGGCAGAGGACCCAGGGTTCCCAGAAGCTTTTGCAAAAAAAGAGACCGGCGTCGAGGTAGCTGTCTGTGGCAGGATCGCTCAACGCAGCAGATGCAGTCGACAGCCACGAAGTCTACTAGCCTAACGGGTTCATGTCTTATCAGTATGTTAAGTCCTTGGGACGCAAAGGTTCATGCAGAGCTCCCCCGGCTTTGCGGAGAAGCTTGCCAGCTCCGCAAAAAGTGCTGGCCTTCCCAGGCGCGGCTGTTCAGAGAGGGGCTGCGGCCTGCTATGCTGTTGCTGTACGCAGCCGACGCCTTCTGTCAACTGGAAAAGACAGCTTTGGACACGTGGTCATTGAAGATTCCTCAGCTGCAGAGGGCAGCTCAAGTCTTCCAGCTTCCCAGGGTTTGCCGAGCTCTTTTGCTCCGAGCTCTTTTGCTCCTTGCAAAGTTTTCTTGCGTGCTAGTTCATTCGGGCTGCAAGGCAAGTGATTTGCCAGCTTGCGGGCCGCTTGCAGCATTGCTCAGGGTGGGCTCAGGGAAAGGCGATGACAGGGATACCATGATCGCCGAACTGCTGCCGTGTTTTGGCATTCTGAGTTCCGTGCTGGCAGGAGCATGGATTGACCAACTGCACATAGGCAGCTGAGTTCTACATGTGCGTGTCTCATTATTTTGATCTTGCATGCATGCGTGGTGCTGCTGCTGTTGCTGCTGCAGCATATGACACGCCTACATGCCTTGCCGTGGACTGGTATGTGAGCCAAATCTAGTGCACTTGTTCGGTACCATGTTTAAACAAAACGCAAAACTAGACTCGACATCAGCACTCGGAAAGCAAACGCCGCGACGCAGAGCTGACTACTTAGCTGGGAAGAAAGTTGAGCTTTGGCGTCCACTTGGAAATGGGACAAGATGCCAGCGCACTCAAACATTCGCTGGAGTCGGCACGCGAGCAAGAAAGTGGGGGGCCTGACTGGGTTGTGAGATGAACTGGATGTGTGCAGTTTTGACATGTTCTCACTTCTGATTCTACTGCATAAGGAGCGCAGTACGAAAGCCAAATGGCCATCCTAGAGCAATTTGACCAGAGGACCTCTGCTACACATGAACCTTGACAGTGAACGCCTTCAATGAGCATGCTGCAGGGTCCTGTCTCGATCGGCCTTGGCAGGACCAAGGTTCCTCATTTGCTGATTGAACTGCGCAACCAGGGCTACATTGAGATGCCAAGCTGTGTTTAGGCAATTTTGTTTCAGAGCACACGAAAGGGGGACATGGATTACACTGGTGCAACGATTGAGTTCGACGAGAAAGCAAAACACTCTTGAGGATATGTGGCAAGAACATGGGCGGGATATATGCGAGGTCCTGAGTCCTCAGCAGTCTCAGCAGACACGTCATTTTGCTTGCCAATCCTCATGCAACGCTTGTGCCAGCAAAGGACAAGCTAGATTCCTTCTTCAAGACCTACTTTGGTGCTCGCGACGCGAGGCTGGTCATGCGGCACTATGTGGACGCTGCTTGGCTGAGCAAAGACGAAGCTAAATCTGATTTCTAGAAGCAACATGTAATGCAGGTGAGTGCAGCAGGTCTGCAGCAATTGGGGACGGAAAAGGATTCCCAAGTTTGATGTCAATCGATCAACCGAAGGTCAAAATTCAGGAAGGTTGCTTGACAAAAGAAAGGCGGGAAGGTAATGTAGATGCCCGTGCAGAATCAAGACTTGCAGTCTCGCAGGCTTCATGTTTGGATTACAGCAACTTTCTGGGCTCACCTATGTGTAGAATTGTCCAACCTTCTAGTCTCGGACAGGTCGTTTGGACGTTTGCCTGGGGCCTACAGCCCGATTCCTGTCCAGCTAAGGAAAGCGGCTGCTGCGTCGGGCAAGGACTTGGTGCGACTGGGAGCTCGGTTGGCAAGGGCTTCTAATTCTAATTTGACAACTTGCGCAGGACTTACAATGCAGCCCAAAGAACCGTGCGACGAAGTTTGCGACAAGATCCTGAACCGCATGCTAGTCAGTGTTGATGTGCAGAATCGATCGCAAGCGGACTGTGCCTTTAGATGGCAGAGCCCCGCACAAGCGCAGCTTGATGACGCCGCTGCTGCTTGTTGTCGACCTGAATTGTCCTGAGGAATTATGTATGCGGCGTCCAGAAGTATGATGGTTCAGTTGAAAGCAATGGCAAATTCAAAATGCGCGGGAGCGAGGGCGAGAACAACATGGGCTCCTCGTCCAAACCTGGCTTCCACATGCTTGTGCAGGCATTGCAGAAGGACTGATGCGTTCAAAGATGAAGGACCAAAGGCTTCACAAGACCAGGGAAGAGTCTCTAGAATGTGGAGGAGGTAGCAGGCCCAAACACGAAGCAAGTCGCACAGATGGCGGGGCAGGTACTGGTAAACACAAAACATGCAAAACAAAAAGAAAGGAAGGATATTGCAAACGTTATCTGGATAATGTCGAGCGAAAGGTTAAGGTTAAAGCGTCATAAGCAACCTGGGTGAATTCCAGTGGTCAATGAGGGTGTCGCCCCATGCTGACAAGAGGATCAACTGCTTGCACGATTGGACCACAGAACCTCTTGTGGAGGGGGTTGGGCTTGCTTCGAAGCTGAGGCAAGCTTGCGATGGAGGACCGGAGGGTCAGAAGAAACCATGCTGACGCACTCGTACACTGTAGGAGCTTGAACTTTTTCCAAAGCTAGCTCAGCTAGTGTTAAGTTGTCTCTTGCTTTTGCATTACTAGGAATAGGCAAGGTCTGGGAAGCAGCCAGCTCATCATTCTAGCGCAGGTTCACGAGGGCGGACTTGCCTGCGCTTTTCCGCTCACCCGCCGATTAGGGAAATTGATCTGTGTTTAGACCGTCGTGAGACAGATTAGTTTTACTATGTTGATGAACTTACATATGGATGGCCATGGTATTAGCGTTATCATGCCTAGTGGCTGCATCACAACTCCTTATTCCCTCTGTAGTGTTCACTACATCACTACCTCTGGATGGCAATGGTACGAACAACGTCATTCTTGGTGGTTGGCCTAAATTGTCCCGCCTCCTTCTCTTCTCAAGTGTTGAAGACCCGGCTTCGTTGGCCTAGGCTTGCCCCCTAAGATGGAAAGATGATCTCTTCTTCAGTCTTGTAGAATGACAGTATGAAGTACACCAAAACCCTGTCCCAATTGATAAATTCTGGCTCTATAGTCAACATGACTCCATAGTCAACAGTTGCTGATGCAGGTGATCAATTTCATGACCAATGAGTGTGGATGGGGCCTACATCTAGCCGATGGTGGAAATCTTGGTTACAAAGGCCAGATGCGAGAAACACAAATCAAGTTCAAAGCGCCGCATCCTCTGAATCTTGGTCTTGGAGAGTTCCTTCAGTGAGCGGGCAGATATCAGCTTCTTGTTTTCGGAGCTTACACGGCTGAACCCTTCAGTTTGAAGGAATCTGATGGCTCCCCACATCATGATTGAGCTGAGGCCGGTTTAGCATGTTTTGATTGGTACCATTGCTCAGTGTGCTGGTAACAAAATGCTTCAAAGTTGTGTTTGCTTGATATGAGCCACGAGTCCAAATGCGATCATGCATCGGTCTCGCGACCTCCCAGCCTCCCACCCTCCCAGCCTCCCACCCTCGCGCCCTCCCACCCTCACACATGCCATGAATGATCATTACGAGATCATCCAGGAAGCTGCCAATAACGGCACGCTGGGCACTTGGTGTCGGGGGATCCGGCCTAGGGCGGGGTCTGAAGGGGGCCTGTTAAAGTCCCTGCAGAGAGCTGCTGTTAGTTCTTGAGTCTTGGAGACATCTTTCACGAACTGAGTCTTACTGGGCTGTGCCAGAAGCACAGTCCGTGCAAAAAGTGCAAAGAAGTTTGCAGCTGCCCTTCGCCTTCTCTCATGCCTGCTCGAGATGCTTTCTGTCCACGTTTTGAAAGATTGAAGGCCGCCTACATTTGGGTTTTTACATGCCGTTGCCTATGAAGACCATGTTCATTTAGGGGGGCTTCAAAAAACGCATTGAGGGATCAGAGCCAAGGTGTGAAAGTGAAAGTTAGGTCCTGTGCGTTGAGAGGTTGTCGTCAACAACGCATCGAGGATTTGCCAGGCTTTAAAGGTGAAGGTGGAATTCTTGTGTCTCGAGCTTGGTAAGGGAACATTTCGTACGGTAAAGGGCTAAGAAAATAGGGGGTTTGGTGCCGAATCCCAGCTTTCCTTGGCAGCTTTAAGAACATCGTGCCTTTGCACAGCGGATCGGGCACGGAACCCACATCCCCTCCTGGAGTTTGGCAAGATTACGTCTTTCATTCGGGATTTGGGAAGATAGGAGCTTTGCCCCGGAAATTTGATAGGATCACCATTGTTCTAACAGCTCTGCAGAACATCCATATGAGGCGTGTGGAGTTCCCCCTTTTCTTGCAGTATTCCAGGACCCGTGACGATGCTCCCGGACACCCCTCATGTGGAGCTGCCCCGCATCCAGAGCCTGCGCGACACTGGCGAATGCATGCGAACGGTTCGCAGCGAACCCTTGTGCTCGCGCGCGCTTGCGAACGATTGAGAGCGCCGAGAATTGAAATTGGGATCAACTCCCTGACCCCCAGAATCGCACAGCTTTAAATGAGAATCCCTCCAGCTGCACATCGGCCAGGTCTGTGGGATACATCGAGGCAGGGGCTTTTGGGATTCGTTGCACCCTCCAATATCCTGCCTGGATCTGCCTCGTCAGAACTGCAAAGGTGAATGGCCACGACACGAACGGGATCTACCAAAAGATCCAGGACTTAGGACTTAGATGTGCTGAGCCGTGCTTCGTCGATGCAATAGACTTAGCCTATGCATTCTATGTCGGGAAGCTTGAAGACGCGCAAGCGAAAAGCTAGCTGTTGTTTGAGATTATGAGCTTTGAGATTCCCAAGGCTCGAAATCCCGCACTCCTCACATCCAGCACAGGACTTCGTGCAGAGGAGATGGGGCGGGTCGGTGGTAGGCGACCGAAATAGCCACAAGGACTACTGCGACCTTAAGTTCACCACGTCTGCCTTCAAGAAGAGAGGGATGCAGGGCGAAAACAACCTGGGAATGAAAACGATGGAGGCCCCGGAGGTTTCCCACACAAGCTAGGAAGTTACATTCTCGTGGGTTTTGCTGGGTTTCCAACACGAAACTAGGAAGTTTACATTCTCGTATGCCGCAGCTGTTCGCGCAGTTGACTAGAAGACAGTACAATTCAGGGGTGGACCTGAACAAGCACATGCTCCAAGCAAACGGGGAAAGTGGTGTGCCGCAACCACGAGTGATCGTTCTACACGCAGGGGGGGGCGTGAGTGACCCGGACGTGTGCATGTGCCGCCATGTCCGATGAACCTAACAGATTGCCAAATTTGAGTGACTTGTTGAGGGCTCAAGCAAGAGGGCTCAAGCTCCCTCCCGTTCTTCCAGAAAAGAGATCTGTAGGTGCACTGGAAAAAGAAGTGCAGTAGAGGTTTCATGGCTACTCCTGTCAAAACCCTTTGCAGAAGAGACATAAGGGCGATGAACCTACAGACGATGATTTGATCATCACTTCAGTTTCTGAAGGTGAGGGAGGGAAGGGAGTAGTGTCTTTGAGAGACATTGAAAGACTCCTAGACAAGAAATTGGATCCACTGAACAACTTCCTGCAGCAGATTCACTTGGATCTCGGTGCTTTCAAAGCTTCTGTCCGCATGGAGTTCGAGAGCATGGGGTTGCGAATCAGTGAGACAGAGAAGCATGCCTCCGAAACCATGACACGTGTGGAAGATTTGGCAAAAGAGATCGAGAAAATGAAGACAGGCGAATGGCACCCACACCAACAACAAGTTGACCAGACCAGGTCTCTTTCCATGATGATCGGAAATATTCCCAAAGTTACCAGTCTGGATGATGCAAAGGCATGGCTAGACAAGCACTGCAGTTCTGTTGGTGTTACCCCTCCTGGTCCGACAAACGTGTACAAGAAGGGCTCAGACTCCAACTTAGTGTTTGTGAAATGCCAGAGCGAGACGCATCGGAGCACTCTCATCCAAAGCATTAAAGAGCTGTCAAAACAGTTGCGAGAATCTGGGCCAGGAGAAGCTTCAACTCCCCAGCTTTTCGCAAAAATCGATCTGCCTTTTGATGTTCGTACCGTGGAAGCAGCGTTGTACTCCATGAAGAAAATGCTTGTCTCGTGGAATTTCAATCCCTCCTGCGTGAAGTACGACATTCATTCCGGCATCCTCACAGTGGCCGGAAAGGAAATCGTAAAAGTGCGTGTTCAAGATTTCGCCTTGAAATTCACATGGTGCGATGGCGAATGGCAAGCATGGGGTGAACTACAGGAATCTACGGAAATGGCGGAAATCGCAAACAAAGCCCATGTCCGCTTGGAGAAAGCTAAAGCCCGTGCCACAAACAAAGGCAAGGGCAAAGGCCCCGAGTAGGGGCTCAGGCGGCGCACGGACACAGTTTCACTCGGCTATGGGAGAACTGTAGCGGACAGTTTTGAGATGAGCAACGGCCATGCTCATCAAGTTTTGAGGAAGTTCAAAGTTATGTCTTGGAATATTGAAGGGCTCTCTGAGCTCAAGGAGATGGAGGTTGCTCAGTACATGACTCAGTATGAAGTAGATATCTGCTGTTTGCAAGAAACCAGAAGATGCAAATCTGATGTATATCTTTCACATGGCTTTTCATTCATCCTTTCTGGCGGTGCTCAGGGCGGTACTGAATGGTATGGTGTGGGCTTTGGCATTTCGAGCCGCTTCAAACGTCACATCCGAGGCTTTTGCCAAGTGAGTGAAAGAATTGCAAGCTTGAAGATCAAGTGTCACGGTGGGACCATTGCCCTTCTTACAGTTCTTGCACCTCACAATTTGCGACCCCAACATGAGAAATGGGCTTTTTATGATCAACCTGGAAATGTCATGTCAAATACGCCAACGAACGGCCCAAAGTATGTCTTCGGGGACTTCAATGCTCGCGTTGGCCAACAGCGGCCAGGTGAACATCACATTGTTGGTCCTCGCAGCTTTGGCGTTGAAGCGTCGCATCAGGTGGAAATGCCAAATCGTGACTTTCTCTTGGAGTTTTGTTATGGTCACCGGCTTGCAATCGCCAACACGTTTTGCAATATTTCTGCAGAAAAGCAGGTCACGTACCATGAGCCAGGAATGCCTCCTCTTGCGCCCGTTTGTCCAGGTTCTTTCTCAGTTCTGGATGTATTGTTAGCTCCACAACCCAGCCTGAACAACGTGGAAACTATTTGCAGCGACCGCTTGGCGACACTAGCTTCCAGCCACTTCCCCGTCACAGCAGTATTATGCACTGACGTTGAGCTTGACGGCACAAACAACCGACCATCTCAGCGCAGAGATTGGTCTTCGTTGCAAATTCCTTTAGTCCGCCAAACTCTTTGCGCAAGCTTAACTGCGAGTATGTCATCTGCGGTTGTCTCGGACATAGATGCTTTTTGGGATAAGGCATGCTCTTCAGTGAAAGACGCAGTCCAGCAACATGTGCCTTTGCAAGCTATGAGACCAAACAGGCCGTGGATCAGTCCCGAAACGATGCAGTTGTTACAACAACGCCGTGCAGCCCGAATACACGGTCACTGGGATGTTGAAAAGCGCTTGCGGTCACAAGTCAAAAAATCGGTGAAAGAAGATAAAGCCAAATGGCTTGAAGACTTGGCGTCTTCAGGGGACTGGAAGTCTATTAAGAAACTTCGTCGTGGTCGTAGCGTGAAACAGGGCAGACTTCGAAACACGGATGGTGAACTGGTTTCCTCTGAGTTGCGAGCTGAAACACTAGCGGACCACTTAGAACGAATTCAATGGAGGGTGCGCCCTACAACTTTGGCTCCCAATGACGCGTTACCCCTTGGTCCTCCGCTTCCAGTGCGCATGGGCGACTTCACGGTAGCCGAACTCAGGAAGGCCATTGGGAAGATGTCGAACGGTAAAGCCACGAAACATGGCGACGTACCTATAGAAGTCTTCAAGGCTTTGGCAACGGAACCTGATTCAAGTTTGGATTGGCTTTTGGCGCTTTGTAACCACTGTTGGCAAAATAAAATCGTCCCCAGTGAATGGTCCACAGCTTCAGTCGCTATGCTCTTCAAGAAGGGGGACCCCGCTGACGCGAACAACTACCGTCCAATATGTCTCCAAAGCATTGCGTGCAAGTTTTTTTCTTCGCTCCTGAAACAACGCTTTCTTGATGCAGGTGCTGAAAACCGACTCTGGGGATCCCAATTTGGTTTCCGGAAAGGGTATTGCACTGAAGATGCCATTTTCGTAGCCTTACGGAAGATAGAGGTAGCGTGCGCGCAACGAGCTGGACACATCCGTCTGCTAGCTCTCGACTGGAAGAAAGCCTTCGACAGCATAAACGTTGACAGCCTCCTCGATGCATTGCGCCGCTTTGGCATCCCAGACTTTTGCTTGCAAATGGTGGCTAACATGATGCGCCCCCGTAAATTCTTCGTGGAAGATCAAGGGATCACCTCTGCGAAAAAAGACCAAAGATCGGGCATTTCTCAGGGCTGTGCGCTCAGCCCACTTTTGTTCGTCATGACCATGACTGTTTTTATGCACGATGCTGTCTCGAACCTGGGTGTTTCTTCTTCAGCAGCATACAATGGTGGCAATTTGGCTGACATTGTGTATGCAGACGATACGTTACTGCTCGCATCTTCAGACCATTTGCAAGAATTCCTTTCCAAAGTTGCGGATGCTGGCAGGTTGTACGGGATGGAGCTGCGCTGGGATAAATTTCAACTCCTTGAGGTTCAATGTCGGGCATCAATTTGACCCCAACGGGTGAGCGGATTGAAGCGAAACCTGGGATAGACTACCTCGGCTCAGTCCTCAGTCATGATGGCCTGCCCGGGCATGAGCTTGGTCGTCGCATTGGGATGGCAAAAGCGGATTTTCTTCAATTGCAAAAAGTATGGAAGCACTCTGCACTCCCAACAGTCCGAAAAACCCAGATTTACAAAGCTCTCATCGAATCCAAGCTGATGTACAGTTTGAGCTGTTTGTGTTTGTCTGCAGCTGAACGTCGCCGTCTAGATGGTTTCCAAAATCGATGCTTACGGCGTATTCTTCGTATCCCACCTGCTTTCATTTCTCGCGTTCCGAACGCTGAAGTTCTTCG